TAGATTATTAGGTAGGACAGATAAAAATGAGTTAAGAGAATGTTTGTGGTGAGGTCACAGAAGATGTCATTGTAGATTATAAAACCATAGAGATTAATAGCTATTATTTAAGTTATTTTTAAACCTATATTCTTTTGTGACAGACTTTCTCATACTATGTTGTTATTAGGATTTGGTCTCCAGAAGTTTAGCTTTACTTACTGCGTTGTCAAAGCATAGGGGAGGCAATTCCTAATGGTGGAATTCTTTCTAAGGGCTCCTTTTTTGCTGAGCAGAAAAATCTTACTCTTGTAAGATTTACAAGAGTAAATCTTACCTCTTACTACATCTTATCTGTGTTCTGTTATTGTTTTACTTTTCCTTCCTTTCTTCTTTCTTTCCTTCCTACGTTCCTTCTTTCCTTCCTTTCATGGCTGTCAGGTGAGGTCCCGGATGACTGGAGGAAGGGTCACATCACTCCCATTTACAAGAAAGGGAGCAAGAAGGATCCCGGGAACTACAGGCCGGTGAATCTCAGCTCTGTGCCTGGGAAGATCATGGAACAGATCATCCTTGATGACATGTTTGATCATATGAGGAAACGGTGTGTGATCTGTGAGAGCCAGCAGTCTGTCTTGGGACCGGTGCTCTTTAACATCTTTATCAATGACATCAATGACAGAATCGAGTGCACCATCAACACCAAGCTGAGTGGTGCAGTCAACACGGTTAAGGAAGGGATGCCATTCAGAGGGACCGCAACAGGCTAGAAAGGTGGGCCCGGGTGAACCTAATGAGGTTCAACACGGCAAAGTGCAGAGTTTTGCACTTGGGCTGGAGGAATCCCAGGCATCCATACAGACTGGAAGGAGCGGTCCTTGAGAGCAGCCCTGTGGAGAAGGACCTGGGGGTCTTGATAGATAAAAAACTTAATATGAGCCAGCAGTGTGCCCTTGTGGCTTGGAAGGCAAATGGGATCCTGGGCTCCATCAAAAGAGGGGTGGCCAGCAGGGACAGGGAGGTGATTGTTCCCCTCTACTCTGCTCTTGTGAGGCCCCATCTGGAATACTGTGTCCAAGTGTGGAGCCCCCAGTACAAAAAAGACAGGGAGCTGTTGGAGAGGGACCAGAGGAGGGCCACAAAGATAATCATGGGGATGGAGCACCACTTCTACAAAGACAGGCTGAGGGAGCTGGGCTTGTTCAGCCTGGAGAAAAGAAGGCTGCAGGGTGACCTAATTGCAGCATTTCAATACCTAAAGGGAGCCTACAGAGGGGAAGTGAATCAACTCTTTGCAAGGGTAGATAACAGCAGGACAAGGGGAAATGGTTTTAAGTTGAGGGAGGGGAGATTTAAGTTGGACATCAGGGGGAAATTCTTTACAGAGAGAGTGGTGAGGTACTGGAACAGGCTGCCCAGAGAGGTTGTGGATGCCCCGTCCCTGGAAGTGTTCAAGACCAGATTGGATGGGGCTCTGGGCAGCCTGGTCTAGCATTAAATGAGGAGGCTGGTGGCCCTGCATGTGACAGGGGGATTGGAGCTTCATGATCCTTGAGGTCCCTTCAAACCCTGGCCATTCTGCGATTCTGCAATTCTGTGATCCTGTGATGCTGTGATTCTGTGATTCCTCTGACCGTCTCTTCATCCATACTTATTTACAATATTATGAAACACATTGAAATTCCGTGGACCAAAGTATTAATCATGTAATGGACTTCAGGGTAAAATTTGCCCTTTTATTTCCTTGTTTTCAATCTGAGGGTTGGGGTGTGGTCACTATATAAACAGATGCTTAGTGTGCTTAATACCTGTTAAAATATTTGCATGCAATGACTGCTTATATAGAAAAAACAGTCTAATCAGAAACATCCAAAGAACTTACTTAGAGGTTAAAAATGGGACTTCATCAGAATTCAAGTGCTTAAGAGCAAGGAACAATTCCAAAAACCCATACTTCAATGAAAATTTTAACCTGGAAATGTGTAGTATTTGCTTGGGGGCCATGTATTAGACCACAACATTTCCTGTGCATCTAAACCATAGCTTCTTGGTGTACACATGCCAGCTGTGGGTGTGCTGGTGCCTGACTTCCAACTGTGCTCTGTGTTAAGAGTCAAGCTGCTTTTCTGGTCTTCTGTCGTGAGCCCCTCAGATTTCCTCCTGCTCAGGGGCTCATTTTTAATTACTCTGTAAGAAAGTTTACAGGCTCCCATTGGATAAGCGATCTGAAGAATTGTGAAGACGCAGGTCCAAATCTTGTCTTGTCAAGGTGAAAGCAGTACTGAGATCTGCTATTGTTATCACTGTTTGTTTCCACAGTCTGCAGACCTTTCTGAGAAGCCTGAGGCATGCTCATTCAGATGTTCCTCTGTAGAAGGTCTCAGATCCGGGCAGACCAAGGAGTTTGATGGGTAACAGCACTCTCTTGGGCTTCAAATCTGGAGTCACATCATTGTTTGGGTTTATGTGAATTTCTTCTCTGAGGCTCCCTCTTCATGTGTCTTTGTTGAGTCACCCAGACCCCATAGGATCAGGTGATTCATTTTTAGGTGTATATGTCCTAGATCTTATTCTTGATTCTCAGCCAGCATCAGCTGGCTAATGCTTGCAACCATTAGACATGTAAGTCTTGCCCAAGGCCCATAGCCCAGCACAGCCCTGTGTGCAGGCCTGGGTTCTGTGCTGGCAGGGGCCATCTGTAGCAGCCATGGTTTGCTGCCCTTGGACAGGCTGCAGAGAGAACGCTATCACTGACCTTGACTAAGTAGCAGTGCTGAAGGATGAAGCAAGAAACTTTTCCCCAATACAGAAAGGAGAGAAAATGTTGTTTCTAATATCAGCTTGTACTGGCTTTCTTGAGCTCATCTGCACAGAAGATAAACAGAAATAGACAAGTTCTTCACTATTGCTCTTTTGAGGAACCCTTTTACCCTGCTTTTTCTTTCTTCTGGCACATCACTTAGTTTCCCTTCCTGCAAACATAGTCCCATTCATGCTGATTGTGCTAGACAAAGTGGATTGAAAAGAAGTCAGAGGCTTTGAAAGCCTGGCTAGCACAAAATTACATCAGTGTAAGGAGAGGAGGCTGGATTTGATATACTGAAAATTTCCTGTATGTATCTTAAAGCGTGGCTACTGCAAAGTGCAACTATCATGTATTTCAGCCCAATATTAAAGAATTTCAATACTTGGGGCCAAATCAGCAACATACTGAGTACTGTCTTATCCACAAATATATGGACAGATATACCCCTGTTTATCAAAGCGGTTCTACAAATGGTTGAGTTGAATTCAGTGAAGTAAAAGATATCATGTTCTTGAAAACTTTGAAGTATATATGCCATTTCACTTAGAACGTATGTAACTACTATAAGGCCAGCTTTATCCAAAGAGGTTGGTGAGCTCTGAGACGACATTTGCAAAGACCAGCCAGTTCTCCTGTTAAGATGTCCAGAGAGGAAGTGTCTCAGTTGATACATGACTGCAGACTGCAGCCTTCAGTTATGTAAAAGGACGCTGCAGAGGACTAAAGTAGGGGTTTGTGCACACAGTGGATGGGGCAAGAAGCAGCAGGCTTATCCTGAGGCAGTGAGGTAGGTTAGGCGTTTCACATCTTTGTAATTGTGAGGGTAAATTAGCCCTTGCGTGGTTTGCTTACAGAGGTTATGAAATCCTCCTGTCACTAGGAGGATTTTAGAACAGATGAGACAAACATTTGTCAGAGGTGAGTAGGTTGAGCTGATCCTGCCTTAGGGCAGGGAATGGACTAGAGACCTTTTGAGAACTCCTCAAGCTTGCTTTTGATGATTATATAAAATAAATGCTCCTGATACTTTTAGTGAGTACTTAAACTGAATGAGAATCAGCAATGAGCCACTATATTTGTACGTAACTTCACAATACCTTTGCTCAGAATAAGAGCTTTATCCTGTAGACACTGATTCAGAGAAAATTTGATGGCACACTGATATTGCTTTTTGGCTGTATTAATTCCACAAATCAGCATGCATACTTACATGTACTTCGGGAACTTCATATTCCCTTGATCAACGAAACATAGAATTTTGAATAACATATGCTTAACAGTTTGGGTAACAGGGTAGAAAATCTATTGAATTGGGGTGATAGCTTTCAGTGGAGTATCGTTAGTGGAATCCTAATAACTTTCAGTTCTGAGAAGAGTAGATTAACTGCTCTTAAATACTTTACCCTTATGAAAGTACCCTTACATTTAGCTTCCTATGAAAACGTCAGTGTAAGGAACAAGCTGGGTTCCACTTGAGCTAAGTTTCTTTTATTGCCCTTCAAATGCAAAGGCTTTGTGTTTGAAAATGTATGTAGATAAATAGACCTTACTTTGCATAAAGGCAAGGGAAAGGCTTGAGTGATGGAGAACCAGCATCTCAAGATTTAATCCATGTTGTCTGCTGCTTTATTTTAAGTTTCAGCTCTGTTGAACTTGATGATTTTGTATTAAAAGAGGAAAAATTGGCAGCTCAGGCAGATGCAAGAATTACTGTGTGTGCTTTACCCATGCCTGCAAGCTTATGGCTCACTGTACTGCTAAGCATGTCTATATGTTAAGCAGCCCTCCTTGAAAAATCAGGCATTTTAATATAAAAAATACCAAGTTCTTAGGTATGCTGCCAGATGTGTTGCTGAGGCAGAACAAAGCAGCTGGAAAATAACCTCAGCCATCTTCTACAGTATATATTAGGACATTGCTGAATGCTGTATTAAATACAAAGAAAGAAAGAAATACTGAAGTTGTATAATTCAAAATGTTTTCTTTACCTCCTGGACTTAGGTGGTGTTTGTATATCTCACTTTAACTCTGCAGACACAGCTAAGTACCTACCCCTATTATTTTCAGTAAAAGATGGATTTGGCCTAAATACTTTCAGAGGTCTGAACCTGAGCTGAGCTATTGCTTCAGAATAAAAGAGTTTCATTTGATGCTTCCTAGCCAACAGAATGCTGGTTTAGTAGTGATTATTTTGTTTGTTTATTGTGTTTTTCAGAGCCTATGCACAAAGAAACTCTTCTCCATCTTGCAATGAAATTGGGCTTGGTTAAACTTTCTGAGTTCTTAGTGGGCCAGCCTGGAGGGACATTGGCATTAGCACTACCTAATGAGGATGGAGCAACACCGTTAGACTTGGCTGAGCAAAATGGGCACTCCAAACTGGTTGAAGTCTTCTCAAAGTAAGTATAACAATTTGCTATTTCACAGAATCACAGAGTCACAGGGATTGGAAGGGACCTTAAAAGATCATCAAATCCAACTCCCTTGCTAAAGCAGGTACCCTGCAGTGGGTTGCACAGGAGTCCAGATGTGTCTTGAATATCTCCATGAAAGGAGACTCCACAGACCTCTCTGGACAATGTGCTCCAGCACTCCACCACCCATACTTACCATAAAGATGTTCTTCCTCATGTGTGTATGGAACTGTGTATTTTCAAGTTTTAGGCCATTTCTCCATGTCATATTACTGCGCACCACTGAAGAGCCTGGCCTCATCCGTTTGCTTCCCACTGCCCTTTAGATATTTATAAATATTAATCAGATCCTCCGTCAGTCTTCTTTTCTCCAGGCTGAACAGACCCGGGTTACTCATATGGGAGGTACTCCATGCCCTAAATAATCTTTGTGGCCCTCTGCTAGATTCCTTCTAGGAGAGCCCTGTCTTTTTTGAACTAGGGAGCCCAGAACTGGACACAGTATTCTAAGTGTGGCCTCACCAGGCCAGAGTAGAGAGGGAGGATCACTTCCCTTGACCTGCTAGCCTTGCTCTTTATGATGCACCCCAGGATACCACTGGCCTTCTTGGCCACAGGGACACACTGCTGGCTTGTGGCCAACCTGTTGTCCATCAGGACCCCATGTCTTTCTCCACAGAGCTCATCTCCAATAGGTTATCATCTAACCTGTACTAATGCATGCAGTTATTTCTCCCCAGGTGCAAGACTTCACACTTGCTCTTGTTATGCTCTTCATCTCTCATCTCTTAAGAGATGTAGTAAGCACTGTTTTTCTCAAAAATCTTGCCAATTTTGTGTTATTTTCTGTTGCTTTTTGTCATTTATTTTAAATGATAAAATTTTATTTACAAGTAAAGCAAATTTTTAATGTATATCCTTTTGTACATTTGTAAGTGCATTAATAGTGTTAGTATCAAAATGTACACCTGTGTGATTTTAAACCACTGTCATCATCCAGTTAGAGATTATTAGTCTTTTTCTTTCAAGCTGACCCATAAATGGCATCTAACATTAAAGTACAGCTGGAATACTTTTTATTCTAGCCTTTCATAAAACAAACAGATAAAGGGAAATTATTAGGTAACACATATCCATGTTCCTGGGCTCTCTGCAGAACAGTTGTCCAAAGGTTGTTGTAAAACTGTTGTTTTTCTGTGAGTGATTCCCATAGTGTGTTTAGAGTTATTTCTCTTACCAGTATAAAACTAACAAAATGAGGCAATGTACAGAATTACAGAATCATAGAATGGTTTGGGTTGGAAGGAACCTTTAAGATCACCTAGTTCCAACCCCCTGTTGTAAGCAGGGACATCTTCCAGCACACCAGGTTGCCCTATCCAGCCTGGCCTGGAGTGTTTCCAGGGATGGGGCAGCCACAGCCTTGCTGGACAATCCTGTCTCACAGTAAAGAATTTCTTCCTAATATCTAGACTGCATCTTCCCTCTTCCAGTTTAGAGCCATTTCCTGTCATTCTGTTGCTATCTGCCCTTACAAAAGTCCCTCCCCAGCTTTCCTGTAGTGCTCTTGAGGTCTTGGCAGGCCAACTATACCATCCTCCCGGAGCCTTCTCCTCTTTAGGCTGAATAGCCCCAGCTCTCTCAGCCTGTCCTTACAGGGGAGGTGCTGCAGCCTTTTGATAATCTTTGTGGCTCTCCTCTGGACCTGCGCCAGCAGCTCCATGTCCTTCTTGTGTTGGGAGCTCCAGAATGAATGTACATTATATTCCTTCTTCTGAAAAAAGGACATTTTTGCTGAATTTGAATCTGGCATTTTTAAAGAGTGTATCATGAAATATAAAAATTATTAAAAAAAAAGAAAAAAAGAAACATTGGTCTTTTGAGATACCTAGCTCTGTGATATTGTCACAGCTTGTACATGGAGCCATCTAAGCCAGCAGTCTCTCGAAAGAGAAACAGAGTCATTCCTTTATGTTGTCTGAGCTTTGAAAATGCAACTAAATAATAAAGTTTAAGTTATAAGTGAAGTTTAAGTGATGCAAAGCCCAGAGGGGTTTACTGGTAGAACTCTAACTTTTGAATAACTAGAATGTAGTTGATGACAGGAGGGGGCCTGGAGGCTGTGTGAGCTGTTTCCAGCCTGCTCTGCATGACACGAGAAAGGACCATCATGTACCTCTCTCAGTGTTGTTGCTGCTGACTGCTGACCTGCTGCTTACATATAAAGGCATACCTTGAAGTGTATAGAAATGCTTGCGGGTACAGAGACACGAATTTTACAAAACTCTGGGGAGACTTTGTTACCTCTATGTGTCTTGAGATGGAATTAGCGAGGGAGAGTTGATGGCAAGTGCACCGGTGCAGCAATGACTGCTTTTGCCAGAGGGCTACCTGTCTGACAAATGACTAAAGGACAAGTGCTTTTAAGCAAGTTCCATCTGCCCTGTATGGACCTACAGAGCTGCGTGGTGTGCGTGTCTCACGGCACCAAATGTTCAGTGCCAGAAGCCCTTCTCCCTGTTGATATTCTCTGCAAATTCAGGGAAATAGGCCAGAACAAGGCTGTAAATATATATATATATATTTTTAAAACTTTTTTTTTTTTTATTGTGGATCTTTCAGGCCCAGTTCCATACAGCATAGAGTTAATATTAGAGTTATGCACATGTACACTTCAACTTGTCTGAAAACAACCAAAACACTTAACACACTTGTGCAGTACATCTTGATAGGAATTGTTTGTAACATCTGAACAATGCTGTGTTCCCTTGAGACACTTTCTGTTTTTTGTCAGTGGTGGGATAACAAAACCTAGCTGCCAGTCATGTCCTACTGCTATATATGGCAACAGTAACAGGAAGAGGTACTATTACTAACTTACAGAAATGAGGAGAGGTTGGTATTGTCACTGCTTACTCTTACCAACTTCTTTTACTGGTGACTAACTAGCATTTCTAGGGCAGTCACTGTTTTTTTCCACACTGAGTTGCATTTTAGTTCTGAGATGAGTTGTTGGTGGGTATTTGTTTGCCCAGCTGTGTTTCGAGTGGATATGTCAGGTTTTCTGCCGTGGACATGCTGGGATGCTGCTGGCTGTGCTGCAGGAAGGATGCCATGCTTGTGTTCTCACCCTACCTGCATGTAGAACATCTATTCTAGCTCAACAAGCATTTTGTTCCAGTTTCCAGGGCAGCCGCTCGCCTGATGTTGCCAGAGTGGAGATCAGCGAGGGGGCCTGCATGCGCTTTGTGCGCTCATCAGCAGCTCTGACACTGACGCTGGACCACACGGCCAAGCACTTACTGGAGTCAGATGTGAGGCTCTTCAGGAAGTACTTCTGGAACAGGCCGCTGCTCCATGAGGTAGGAACCAGCCTGGCCCAGAGCTGCCACAGGCTATTGGCAGTCATTCCTTGCTGTTCTCCACGAATAGCCATGAATAGTATGAACTGCTTCTTTAACTCCTGGTAGTGTAAGGAAGGATTACTGTTGTAGACTTCTTTTCAAGTAAATACAGCTCTTTGTGTGTATGGAGCTGGAGAACGAGAAATGTGGAGACCTTTTCAAAGCCTCCTTTACACCCCAAATTGTTTCTTGTTCACTGTAGACTTTCTGGGGAATATCTTCCCCTGAAATCTCTTTGATTCCATTGCCATTCTATTTGTCTTGATACTTTGAAATATTTAATTTAGTTCCATTCTTCTCTGTGCTGGTGTAACTCTTGGGAGCTTTTATCAGATACCAACCCCAGTGTATTATACACAGCAACAAAATACAGACTATGTACTTTTGCTGTAGAGGAGTTTAGTTGTGATGCTCTGGGTCTTATTTTGTTATAAGCATGAGTTCTTAAGTAGGAGTGCATTACGTTTTTGGATCAAGACTTGACTGCATGAAATATAATCTTGTGTATATCTTCTGCATAATCTTGTATATGTACTGCCAGGAGTTTGATTTGTTCCAGTACACTTCAAAATAGAGGTAGAATTTATTGCTCTACTGGATCTTTCAGCTTCCCTATAGCAGACCGTAAATGTCTATCTAGTTTGTTTTGTCTCAAGACTGCATGAATGCTCACATTGTTATTTTAGGTTTGGCTGAGAAGAAGACATGGACTAAACAGAGGAAACTTGTGCCAATTAGAGTGTCATGGAGCGCTAGGTTTTCATAACAGAAAACCTCAATATAGCTCATTTATGCTTTTCAGCCCCTGGTTGCAGGTACCTGTTGGCCCCTCGAGTGTTTGTTATGTGTCTAAAAGAGCAATGAAAAACTGAAAGAAGGCTGATGGTAAGCTTGAGTTACCCATGCAGATTTGCCTTCACTGGAAACCTTCTGGGGCTCTGCAATTCAAAAAAGTTTAAACTCTGAAGTTTTGTGACTCTGCTGGGCTATATGGAGAAGGAGGTTCTGAAGATGAGGAGGACTGTGACATTGCTCAAATGGTGAGCAAACTCCCGTAGACTAACCCTGTGGAGATACCAGCATCTGTCATTGAGGCTGCAGGGAGCACTCAAGGGTTAGAGGAGGTTGAAAGGGGGAAGCAACAGGAAGGTGAGCGCTGTGGGGTTTGTCTTGCCCCTCCATCAGAGCTGTACCTGGCCAGTGGAAGGGGTCACTTTGCTGGAAGAATATGTCAGGGTTGAAAGAAAAAAAAAAAGGAAAAAGAAAAAAAGAGGACAAACCAGGATGATCATCCTAAATGAATAGGATAATTTAAATTTGGAAAAATAATTTTGTTGCCTGGTTTAATGATTTCCTGAGGAAAGTTGACTTCAATAGCTTATTTCTGCCTAGTAGCGACAGGAGTAGGAAAGAGTCCTGCAAAGTATCAGACTTACGGGAGCAGAGAAAAATGTGACTGAGCCCACCAAGAGGGAGGTGTAGGATTTGTAGCCACATGTTTTTGGGTGCAAAATTCAGCAGTGTCATCCCTGACTTCCTGTTTTGTGGTCCAATTACCATGCTGTTCTCTGTTTGCTGCCCTGTCAGGTGACAGATTCAGTTCATAGTGTTCAGCTCTAAGACAGCTTAGTCTTAGCTGTAAAAGGGAGACACTAAAAGCAATAAAACAGAGATGAACTAACTACATGAAAGGAGGCACACTCTGCTCCACCTCCATTTCTTACACTCATTGAATGTAATTGCTAAAATCAGGGACTGGACCTGAACACTTCTTTCCCATGGAGTGATGTCTGCTGTATGTGCCTGATTGAGGTGTCAGCCCAGGAGGGAGCAGGTTCTGCACTGAGGCTGGTTGTGCTGGGACTGTATGTTTCCTACCAGTAAAAATCACTCTGTAGGGGTACTGTCTGGCTTCTGGGCCACTCTATGTAGTGCTTTGCTGCCTTTCTTATGGAAAAGAAATTATGAACACTGAAGTACCAGTGTTATATCTGGTGTTTTGGATCCCTTGTGTACTGTAAGCAAAGGATAATTTTCCTCTTCTTCTTGAGAGAGGGAAACTGCTAGTGTATCCTGTGGAATCTCTTATCAGTCATTGTAGTATTACTTATACTATATTTATATGTCTGATTTTGTTTCTGAGTTTTACCATAAATGTTGAGGGCATGAAATAAAATTAATTATCATCTTCATTTTTTTTAATAGAGTATCAATTCAAACCAGCTTGAGCCAGTGGAAGATCCAGAAATGCACTGCAGCACAACGAGCTCTGTAGAAGGTACAGTTTCTTATTCCATAATGTTAAACTCGCTAAAACCTCTGGAAAGTTTGCACAAGTTCATATAGTATCTATTCAGGAAGATCACATTTCATATGACAGTAGAGACCTGCAAGTAGGTGACGGTGGAACACACAAATTAGACACTATGAGAGATGTGCAAATCTTTACACTGCCTACAAAGCATCGATTTTCCCATATTGAACAGAAATTGTTCTTTAAAAAAATGTTATGGAATGTGTAATGACTGGAAAGGTCTGAACAAATTTTGCTGCAAGAGCCAGAAAAATGTCAGTAGATTCCAGGAGAGGGCAGTGTTTAACTGAATCAACGTGTCAGCCTGTGAACTTCAGTGAAGTGTATCTAGTTAATAAAGTCAGGAAGGTAACGCTAAGCGTAGCACTAGCTTGGGCAGTGCAACTTTTAGGTGATAGTTACTTCAATGTTTTCACCAAAGGTGAAGGGGATTCTAGTTCATAGAATTGTTTGAGTTAGAGGGGACCTTTAAATATCATCTGGTCCAACTCCCCTGCAATGAACAGAGGCATTGCATCTACGGCTAGATCAGGTTGCTCAGAGCCCTCCCTGAATGTTGCCAGAGACAAGACATCCACTACCTCTGCGGGCAACCTGTTGTAGTTCCTGGTTGTGAGGATCCTCGTACACTCTTCATACAGTATCAGGATCCATGAAGATGGTGGCAAACTTATCTATTCATGTTTTCGATAGAAGCTATATAGTTCTGTGTCTTTATGGACCAGAGCTGGTTTTTGTTTTGTTTGGAAAAAAAAATAATCTCATTTTAGGCAAGAAAAGAATGCCACATGGATAGTAAACAATAAACCACACAAACTAGTATGAAACTGGTTTGGAAGTGTCAAAAAATACTAACAAGCCAATCAGACTTGCACCTTTTGCCCTCTGCATTATCTACAAGTAAACAATAGTAGTCCTTAGCTATTGTTAACAGGCAGCAAAATTTTCTGAATTTCCTGTTTTCTATTCTCTTTGTTTCCCATCTTTATGTCAACCAGTCCTTCATATTTATTTATTTATTTCCTTTTTTTTTTTTCATCATTTACCACCAAATCCAGGTATTGCAAGTTCATGCAACAATGATTGTTACTGGTGACAGTCTGGTTTATGCTCTCCAGCTCTCCACTTGCAAGTGTTCAAGCAACCCAAATAGATTTTTTTCTGTATGTAATTAATATTGCTGACTCTACAAGCAGAAATGATAAGAAACAATTAATGGAGTACTTCTTATATACTTTGCTTATGTTCTCAGTTGCACTCAGTGAGCTACTTTGCAAAGTGGCTGCTAAGCTTGGGACACTATTTGATGAATTAATGTCATGAGAATGTAGCCCTCAGATTTCAAAACTGCTGCTGTTCCAAGTGGTTCTGTTGTAGTACTGTTCCAATAGCTAATCATTTCAGTATGGGCCTGAAATCAAGACCAACAAGCCTTCAAAATACAATGCTATCAGAAGTCTTGAGCTTCCATCCTATAGAGTCCGCTAACAGTGTACTGCTTGTTGTATAATGCAAATCAAATTAAAGCAGGGCGTCAGCAGTGAATCTCCCAGAGCAACTTCATTAAATTAAAATACATGACTGATACATTATCCGTTAGGATGAAAAACAAAATGTGAAGTAGATGGTATTTTGGTTAATCCACGTCCACTTTGTGCTTTTTCTGTTTCCTGATCTTGGAATTTGACTGAACGGTGTTATTTGGTGGCCTGAGCCATTTTCTGCTGAATAACTATAGCTATAGAAGAAACATAATTTATTCTGAGAGTTATTATTGTTCAGATAACAGTAACAACAATAAGAAGAAGAATGGCACATCAGTGCTGTAAAAAAATAAGCATCTGAGAAAACATGGACGTTAATTTTCTGGAAATGAGCTTTAAAAATGCAACTTTTTTCTTCATCTCCCTATGAAGCCTTTAAAGTAAGTCTCTGATCACAGTTAGAAAAGAAATAGTCTATTCTCTCTCACAGAAAGACGATACCTGGGATGCTTTGTTTGATGACAGCAGTGATTTTATGGTCTGTAATGACACTGTATTAGAGGAAGTTGATTTGTTGACTTATTGCTAGACTGCACATCCCTTTGGGTGCTAACACTTATTGCCATCACTCTTTATATGCCACAATGTGATATTTAAGAATTTTTATTTTTCCCACTTATGTTTTTTCAGCACACCTCAGAGAAGAAAAGAATTATTATGAGGAGCTAATAAATAAGGAGTTAAAATAGAGAGACAAAATCACCTATGTGAGGGGCCATCAACAGCCTGACACAGTCAGCAGAAGCAGCAGTGCTCCATGCTGCTGGTGATGCATGGAGCCAAAAGCATAGCATTCCTTAAGATGATCCCCTAAGCCACTGTATATCGGCTACTGAGTCATAGTTTGTTTAATGATTTTCTGAAGATAGAGAATTGAGAGGGATATGTGTAGCTGAGAACAGATTTGAACCTCAATTCAAAAGATTTGGCATAAAAAGAAATGAGTTTACCAGCATAGCTTTAGCTGTTATTGCTAAAAATATACTTATTAAATGATACTGTTCCTGGTTGCCTGAGTGATGCTGGTGTTCGTATTTGCATTCCTTTAGCCAGATTATTCCTTTTTGCTGTGTCACAATAGCACTGGAGTCTGTGTTTGGGCAAAACTTGCTAAATGTGATCTTGGTTTTGTGTATGTATGTTTCTGAGAAGAAACTGTAAAAGAGAGATTGACAGAAATGAAGTTGTTTTTCCCTTTCTTCGTGTGTGTTAAAATGTGAAATCTTGTTTTGGAAAACACAAAAAACCTCTTCACGTAAAGAAGCAGAGTCTAAGTTTGTTCAGAGGTGATGCAAGGCATAGCACAAGAACCAATGTTTTTTTGAACACTTTGGGGGTTAATCAGCAGCTGACTGACAAGTCACAGTGTTTTCCTAGCCTGTCTCTTTGTTTTGAATAGCTTGTTCATAACTGGCCCATGACAATAACATAGCACTGGTTGTGCTCCTAGCCTGCCTGCTGCCCACGGGAATGCAGCTTTGGGGGGGATGCATGGGCTGCACTAGTCCATTGTTCTGCCTTGCCTGCATGTTTGTTTGCTTGTTGTTGTCCCTCTCCTGTTTGAAAAAGGAGAAAGAACAGCAGCAGAAACCAAAGCAAACCCAAACTGAATTTCCTTGCTCTTAAAGGCAAGAATCTTTGCTTTTACAGGTCCTGTGAGCTTGGCATCTGATGACTTGTCCCAGGATGATGTGAAGGTACAGATTTCTCCTTATACAAATAGCTAAGCTCTCTTTAGGTTCAGGAACAGCAACCTCTGCTTGCCTGAGCACCTCCCAGAGCTAATAAGTAAATGACTGCTATCTGCCAGGTAATATTTCCTGTCCATTCCTATTCTGTGGGAATAGCTGCATGTGTAAGTGGTTGTCATTTGAAAGATTCTGTTCTGTGGTTGTGAGCCAGAAAGCTGGACCAGAGAAGCATGCTCAACTTTTGGACCAGAAATGTTTATGGTCATTCCTAGTGCCTTCTAGCTCTTCTGCTAGTCTGTGGAGACAAAACCTGTCTCCTGTGAGCATGTACTTCTGTAGGTGGAGTGGCTTACTACACCTAGAGCAAACCACCTGTGGTAAAGTAATCCTTACCAGGGAAAAAATGTTTGCTGTAGAAAAGATAACAGTTCCCATTACCTTTTAGATGGAGCCATTTAGCAGCTTTTGGGAAGGAACTGCATTTTTGAGAAATATCATTCTTGTTAATCAACACTATTTGAATCTTTTATTCTGCTTTTTATTTATATGTGTCTCTTTCTAAAGTCAGAAAATCTGTCTCAGCATTATTTGTTTTGTTTGTTTGATTTTTTTTTTCTTATCAGCTTTTAAAGCAGGAGATTGATTATTAGCACAATGAAAATAAATTAGAATGACAAACAAAATCGGGCAAAATCTGATATACTATCTCTTCATACTCATTGACTTGATTTTTTTCAATAACATCTGAGTTTTAGAAATGTTGGACTGCCACTTTTGTTGCATCATGATTTTGAGTATGTAGTTATTTTTTTAAGTGCCAGCTTAAAGCAGTTTGACCATTTGTTTGGGATTCATGTATTGTTGGTATTATCTTGTGTCATTTCAAAATGGTATCTCTGCATTTTGCATGCATTTTGGAGATTATGCTGATAACTTATGTTGAGGCAGACTGTGGCAGCTCAGAAGTGTTACTAGGAATTAAAAGGTTCTGATATTCTATTGATTGTCTCTTATTTTGAGCTAGCAGAAGGGCTGTAGTTAACGCTACAAAGGGTGAACTACCCTATGATATTTCTGTACGCACAAGCAACTCAGGCATTGAAGATGGAGCTGTCTCAGGAATGGCTTTTTCCTCCAGACTAATGTAGTGGCTGTTCTAGGTACAGCTAATTTTGTAGGGGAAGAATAGGCTGAAATCTGGAGTTTATGTGGAAAGTAGTTTGGTCTCTTCTTTGATGATATGTTTGATACCATAAGGTCATCACTATAGTTCATTTTCATACTAGTCTGGGAGCGGCATGCTGTATCTGTTGCCTTTTTAAAAATGGCTAAAATGAAATAACTGCTGCTTAACTGTGCTTGGACTGTTCTTGAACTGAATTCGGAAAGCCTGAAGCACATCCTACAACTAAACACAAATGTAACTATTCATCTTCAAAGATTTACGTGATGTTTTCTCTTTCTAGCCTTTCCATGGTGCTGTCGTTCCTTCTAAAGAAATTGAAGATAATATCCTGTTAGACATAGGTAAGAAATAATTAACCATTTTGAATTCCAGAGAGCTATGGATGTGTGCTGTGATGCTGAACACATGCAAGGTGGTGTTTTTAAGAAGGCTGAATGTCACTGGCATTGCAACATAACTTGGCAGAAGACCAAATGAATTCTATCTCTGTCTACTTCTAGTGTAGCATATCCAAGAGTATCATGATAGCCCTCAATTTTTCAGCAGAATATTAACTGTTGTATGAATTACAGTCTTGAAAACTATTTCTAATTGAATTGTAGAATCATTAAGGTAGGGAAAGACCTCTAAGATCATCTAGTCCAACTGTCAGCCCATCACCAACATGCCCACTAACCATGTGCCTCCACAGCTCTTGAATGCCTCCAGGAATGTTGACTCCACCACCTCCCTGGGCAGCCTGTGCCAGTGCCTCACTGCTTGTTAAGAGAAATTTTTCCTAATGTTCAACCTGAACCTCCTCTAGGGCAATTTGAGGCCATTACTTCTTTATCTATGGCTAGTTACCTGGGAGAAGAGTCTGACCTTCATCTCAGTATAACCTCCAATAGAGTCAACATATGTGACTATACATTAAATGAAGCAGGTAGAAATGTGTAGACAAAGTGCATTGTAGAGCCAGAAGGGCTTGATTATACTAAGACTATGTGTTTAGGAAATGAAACTCACAATAGAAACTTGACTATTTTCAAGTTTGTCATAAGCTCCAGTGGTGAAGTTCTTACTGGATCTCATGCAAGGCAGAGCAGGGAGGAAAAAGATGAGTAGCTGAGCTCTGCCTGTGCGGCTGCTGTGCCAGGCAGAGGCTTGCCTGTGATCCTGTCCTGAGCCCAGATGGTGGCATTTCAGATTACCCACCTGCAGGCTCCAGTGGCTGCAAAACAAAGGATTGCTGTGTGTTCATGTGCATGAATGGAGAAATTATGTGCTAGAAATGAGCTGGCATCAACTAAGAGGCATATAAGGTAAGAACATAGGTTACTTTAACAATTTCTCATTAAAATCATCATCTAGCTCTCATATTTTCTCATCACTGTTAGGTTGAACGTCTGTACTGCATCAAGTCCATGCTAGTCTATTGTATTGAAAGAATATGGGAGCTGCATAAGGGTATTGAGTGTAGTAGTGAAAACGTTTATCCTGCATGGTTATCCTGCCTTCAGTGCTTTTGTTCATAGCACAGAGTAGCAGTCCTTGTCTTGCACAAAAGCACAGTGCATATGCTTAAGATGGTAGTGCCCATATGATCAAATAGTTTTCATCAAAGAAGACGAAAGGGTTGGACCAATCTCGGCATAGGAGGGAGTGGAGCCATTTGGGAGTGATTATGGTTTACTAATCTGAAGCCACATCTGCTCCAGTCTCAGCTCTGGTTATGCCATCTGGAGAGGGCAGAAGGTAGCTGAAAAGCTGGCAGAGTAGAAATTCTCCACCCTGAAATCTTAGCTGATAGATCTTTTTCTTACCCTTAAATGCCTTTTCCTTCTAAGGCATCATTTGCACAGAGTGGGATGTGACAGCTGGAACAGGAGCCAGGCCCTCTGGCATCAGACCAGCTCTCACTCTCCTCTTTGAAGCTTGAATGGGAGCTGCAGGCAAATCCAGGGTCCTCTGCAGAAAGCAGCAAGAGCCTTTGGCCATGGTTCATACAGCTAATGAGGAGTGGAGAAATGTAGGTTCTCAAAGGATCTTTTGGTTGAAAAAATAGTATGTGCACACAACTTGGATCAAGATTTATGTGCTTAAAATTTGATATATTACTTAGGTGTCTTATGTACATGTAAAATTCAATTATAAATACGTAGGTGAATGTGTTTATACATATCTCTACATATGGATGTGTACATGTAGATCTTTTGTCCTCAGCACAGGCTCAAGTTTATATTAAACTCAGAAGGGTTACCTCCCATCTGAAAATGAACCTATCTTCTGTTTTTTGTTTTTTGGTTTTTTTTTTAATTTTAATTACCTTTTAGTATACTTAAGAGATTGACTTGTATGTGGTGAACCTTCAGAGAAGTCTGTTCTCCTTGTTTTAGAAGTAAATTGGCGTAAATGAAAATGTGCTCATCTCACATGAGGGCTGGAACATGGCCTCACTGCTGGCTATGTCTTGTGCTTTCCTCACCTATCTTCTATCAGAGTACTGAGCTTGACTGAAATGCTTACAGTATAGACATCTGGTGAGATTTTGCTATTGACATCAGCAGAGCCTGGAGGGCTTCCAGTCAGCATTGTGTGTGAGAGCTGATGAGTTTGGAGTGCAAACTGAAGAGCAAAGGGGCTGCCAGGATTGCACTAAAAGGTGGAGGTAGGGTGGGACAAAGAAGTGTGGAAGTAGGGTTTGATGACAACCAAAAACATATAAGTTGGCTAATGCTGTTTTTATTGGTTTGTTTGAATATAAAAAACAGTATAATCCTTTAACCTGACTCACGTAACCATACTGCTAAATTTTATAGTTTTATTTCTCTGGATTGTTTTAAACTACTATTTAAAAACTTGTTTGCTTGGCATTGTTGTTAAATGGCAGCATGTTTGTCAGGAAGGGCACACAGTGGGGAATAAGCAACGAAATGGAAGTGGTTGTCAGTGGGGGAGAGGAAGAGGGAAAACAGCTAAGGGGTCTGAGTAAAGAAGAATGAATAGAAATAAGCAAATTCTGGAATCTTACTGGGAAGTTGGATGTGTAAATCAAAGAGGACTTCTAAAAGCAAGAACACCAACACTCTTTGAATGGATGTGAGTTTGTCTGCTGCTTCTCATTGCTTTTCCCATATGGTTTGAGAAGCACTTTCCAAAGATCCAGGAAGGGTTCTCTGGTTCCTGCTGCCTATTTTCTTCCCCACCTCTCCCTTTCAAGCATAACTTGAAAGACCAACAAACTTTTGGGGGTATATTTCAGGCGTGCTTGCAGAAGTTGGTATGGTACTGATAGGATGCCAGCTTGTTCCTTGTTTTCATCTTTGGTTTGGGACTTAGCTGCCTCAGGCAATGTTCAAGTTTCAGAGTTCAATTTTGATAATAGCTCCCCTTTGCCTTTGCTGCACGAGAGGCTTCAGTCACCCAGGATGGAATGTATACTCTGTTGTTCCATGTTGGTGGGTGCTAGGGAGAAAGGGCACATGTGGGAAGCAACATGATGTTTCAGGTGGGGGAATGGGACCAAACTGTGGGGCACAAGAGGTTGCTAGAGCAGGGCGAACAGTGGATTACACAAAGACTGTTGAATTTAATGCTAGTATCACACCTGCCAAATCTTCTTTCCTCTTTCTCTCTACTGGAAGTTGTTAGAGATCTGTTTTGTGTTTAGAAGGAAAAAAGAAAAAAAAAAAAAAAAGACTTTTTTTCAGTGAAAGAAGACACACTGAAAAGATTGAGAGAAGAGAAACAATATCCAGTTGGGGAGAGTGAATGAAATAAACAAAAAGGGAAGCAAGAAAAATAGAAGTTTTTTTTCTTTCAATGTTAAGCATATGTGTTACTGCCAACCATTGTCATCTTCAAGAGTAAGCAGCTCTGTTCATTTTGGAATAGACTCTAGGTGGTGGCAGCTGAATGCTGTTACTATTGGGCATGTGACGATGTTAGCAGGGCAAGTGTTTTTGAACATTTATAATTCCTTCCTGTATTTCATAGCCAGTTTGGAAAGAGGATGTTCATAAGGCCATTTACAAAGCTGCAAAGATTTTTTTTTTTTTTTCCAGAAAGAAAAATCTAAGCTCCTAGTTTTTCTTCCAAGAAAATATAACTTCAGGAAGGCAGGAAAATTTTTCAAAATATTTTTCCTGCTCCCGCAGTTACAGTGACCCAGTGGTGTCTGTCTAATCTATTCTGTTTGCTCTGCTAGCAGTGAAAAAGTTTTGCAAGCAAGCCAGGTTTTTCACTTTGAGAGATAAAAATACTGATGCCAAATTTTTGGCAGTTCTATGTATGTGGCCAGGCAGCTTCGAAACATTTTTAGTAGAATCTGTCCTTTGATTTTCATGGTTCCTCAGAAATCCCAGTTTAACCACAGATCGGTTTAAGGAACAGAACATAACGAACTTCTTCTCTGTGGAAACCAGTAGGGCTGCACTGTAATCTGCAGAGAATCTGGTTTTAATGTGGGCTTTTTTGTTCTTTTTTAAATTAGATTTCCTTACCATGATTCGTAAGACTTAAAAGTTTTTTTTCTTAAATACAAAGAAAGCGCAGCCTTTCTGTCTGGAGTCCTGCTTTTACATAGCTTTTATTAGGTCTGTAAAGTGATTAGTTCTTCTACTGACTCAGGTTAGATATTTCAGTTCTGGTTTTATTTTTTATTTATTTGCTTGTTTGATTCTCTATCTTTTTATTGTTTGCTTTGAAGTTTTAGCCTGAGATGAGGACACTGCAATACTAAACTGATTGGAGATGTGCTGAAAAAGTTCAGGAGTATTGGTTTTCAGTAAAAGGATATTCTTTATCCGTAAAACTCATTCTTACTGGAAAAGTAGTTGGTTTGAAAACTGTGAAGAAAAATGCTATTTGAAAAAAACTGCAGAGTTACTACTGCATCTGTCTTATAATGACTTTGTGGGGATTTTTTCACTGTGTAAAACCTTTGCATAGTTCCATGCATCTTGTGGGAGAGAGGCTAACTAGGGGCTGGTCTGTCAGTACTTTCTCAGAAACAACCTTTCAACAACACATGGTTGGTTCTTGTTTATTTCAGTAGATAAAGCATTTTCCTGCTTGTTTGAACTTGAATATTGAAGATAGCTGAATAGTTGAGACTTCAGAAGTTGTAGGAAGAAAAGTCTTCCTGGGATGTGAGCCTGAACTAAGCTTAATTAATAAGCTGTGGAGAAATCTGGATGAAGCAGCATTAAACATTAAAACAAGCTTGTTCTTGTTTCTTGGAGTTTCCTCCACTCTTGACTTTCTGAGACGTTGTAATTCAAGTTAACCTCAGAAGGAAGACAGAAAGAAAAATGAACAAACTACAAACATGTGCTGTCTGGCTTCCCAGAACTCGTCC